GCTTTCGTGGACTGTAGAAGTGGGCTGTAGTCCACGAAAGCTTATGCTCTAATAAATTTGTTAGTCTCTAAGGTGCCACAAGTACTCCTGTTCTTCTTTTTTTGAATAGCAGTGTCCATTGAGGCTGTACATGCATCCTGTGCCTCTTTGTGCACCCATGCAAGCACATAAAGGGCAGAATTTCTCCCTCAGTTCCCTTGGAATTTGAAAGTACTTCTCGGGGAATACTGCACCATTGCACATGCAGAATTTGTGCAGAAATTAATGTTGTGCGTGCAGAATTTCCTCCCCTCTACCCCCAAAATGGACTGCACAGCTGCTGGCTGCCACTAGGGGCCACTGGACGAGGCAGAGCCCAGCTCACAAATAGAAGACAGTGCCGGTGGAAGGGGGAGTGAGCTGGAGGGTTCCCAGCAGCTACACCCCTGAAAGAAGGAGGCGATCTGCAAGCAACTCCGTACAAGCCAGCAACCCAGCATCAGGCTATTTCTCCCTCTGGATCCCTGGGCTCTAGAGAAGTCGAGGGTGATAGTGTCTGGGCTGGGGGCGCCCCACGGCTGGGCTCGTGGGGGGGGAGGGGTGCAGGTGTCTGGGCAAGGGGGCACCCTGTGGCTGGGAGGGATGCAGGTGTCTGGGTTGGGAGGACCCCGCAGCTGGGCTCTAGGGTGAGAGAGGGTGCAGGTGTCTGGCCTGGGATAGGGAGGGGAGCCCTGTAGCTAGGCTCTGTGGGGGAGGAGGCAGAGAAACAGGAACTATGTTGTCGGAGAGGTTTCTTTAACTCTCTACTTACAAGAAGTGGAAATTTGGACAGATGACTAGGGAGGAGTATAAAAATATTGCTAGAGCAGGCAGGGGTGTAATCAGGAAGGCCATGGCATAATTGGAGTTGCAGCTAGCAGGGAATGTGAAGGGTAACAAGAAGGGTTTCTACAGGTATGTTAGCAACAAGGTGGTCAGGGAAAGTGTGGGACCCTTACTGAAGGGGGGAGGTGGAAAAAGCTGAAGTACTCAATGCTTTTTTTGCTGGTCTTCACAGACAAGGTCAGCTCCCAGACTACTGCATTGGGCAACACAGTATGGAGAGGAGGTGAGCAGCCACAGTGGTGAAAGAACAGATTAAGGACTATGTAGAAAAGCTGGACATGCACAAGTCCATGGGTCCAGATCTAATGCATCCAAGGGTACTGAGAGAGTTGGCTGATGTGATTGCAGAGCCATTGGCCATTATCTTTGAAAATCTGTGGCGATCAGGGGAGTTCCCGGACGATTGGAAAAAGGCAAATATAGTGACCCAGGGAACTACAGACCGGTCAGCCTCACTTCAGTCCCTGGCAAAATCACTAAGCAGGTTCTCAAGGAATCCATTTTGAAGTACCTGGAGAAGAGGAAGGTGATCAGGAACAGTCAACATGGATTCACCAAGGGCAAGTCATGCCTGACCAACCTGATTGCCTTCTATGATGAGATAACTGGCTCTGTGGATATGGGGAAAGTGGTGGATGTGATATATCTTGACTTTAGCAAACCTTTTGATATGGTCTCCCACAGTATTCTTGCCGGCAAGTTAAAGAAATATGGGCTGGATGAATGGACTAGAAGGTGGATAGAAAGCTGGCTAGATTGTCAGGCTCAACGGGTGGTGACCAACGGCTCAATGTCTAGTTGGCAGTTGGTATCTAGTTGGTATCAAGGGGAGTGTCCCAGGGGTCGGTCCTGGGGCAGGTTTTGTTCAACATCTTTATTAATGATCTGGATGATGGGATGAATTGCACCCTCAGTAAGTTCACAGACGACACTAAACTGGGGGGGAGGTAGATATGCTGGAGGGTAGGGATAGGGTCCAGAGTGACCTAGACAAATTGGAGGATTGGGCCAAAAGAAATCTGATGAGGTTCACAAGGACAAGCGCAGAGTCCTACACGTAGGAAGGAAGAATCCCATGCACTGCTACAGGCTGGGGATTGACTGGCTAAACAGCAGCTCTGCAGAAAAGGACCTGGGGATTACAGAGGACGAGAAGCTGGATATGAGTCAGCAATGTGCCCTTGTTGCCAAGAAGGCCAATAGCATATTGGGCTGTATTAGTAGGCGTATTGCCAGAAGATCGAGGGAAGTGATTATTCCCCTCTATTCGGCATTGGTGAGGCCACACCTGGAGTACTGCATCCAGTTTTGGTCCCCCCACTACAGAAGGGATGTGGACAAATTGGAGAGAGTCCAGCGGAGGGCAACGGAAATGATTAGGGGGCTTGGGCACATGACTAACGAGGAGAGGCTGAGGGAATTGGGGTTATTTAGTCTGAAGAAGAAAAGAGTGAGGGGGGATTTGATAGCAGCCTTCAACTACTTGAAGGGGGGTTCCAAATAGGATGGAGCTAGGCTGTTCTCAGTGGTGGCTGAGAACCCCATTTTGACTCTAGAGGCTTAAAAGACTCAGAGATCCAGGGACCCAGAGGCCTGGCATCCCCTCACAGCAACATGATGGGCAGCTCCAATGTTGATGTTCCAGACGGAAGCAAGTTCCCTGGCTGGTGGTTAATATAATAAACCCTTTGGGAACTTCAATACTGTCATGTGAGAGCACAACTGGACAGACAGATGGCAAGCTGAGATTGGTGAAAGGTGGACCTCAATAGAGCTGTATGAAATGCTGGAGTGTTTTAAATGTACCAAGTAGTCAAGGACATTCAATATCAGTCTCCCTTAGGGTCCAGGCAATGCTGGGCTGCCCACATAGAGAACCTCTTCCTTTTTTGGTAAGTAAGTTCTTCTGATGGATGTTTTCCCCTTCTGTATCAGGATGTCTGGTTAAATGAGGAAGGCCCTGTGCATGATACTTAAGCAACCAATGTCCAGGCTGTTAGATGCAGGGACTTTGTGTCTGGGTAGTGTATCTGATCATGAAGTATCTGACCTGTGAAATCAGGTCCAGGCAATTGAATGGACATATGCAGCAAGTCTACCAGCCAAAACTGTCTTGAACAGTAGAAAGTCATAAGAATGTTCGCAGCTTGCCCTCATTTGACTTTGGATATCACTCTGGGGATCTGGAGAATTGATAGAAAGGCATATGGGAAACTTTGATTCCATTGCAGAATGAAAGCACCTGGTAACAATACTGTACTCACTCCTTCTCTGGAAAGGGAGGTACTGACCTGTAACTGGAGGTTCTTTGAGATGGGTAGTCCCTATCTGTACTCCATGGTGGGTTACGCATGCACACCATGCACCAGGAACTGAAGAATTTGAAAGTTATGTCTATTGGTCTGCACATTCACCCTGGTTCATCTCATGCCTCTCTCCAAGGGCATAAAGGGTGGGGTGGACTGATCGCCTCTCAGCTCCTTCTCTACCATGAATCAGATAAGATCCAAAGCAGAGGAGGAGGAGGAGAGCAGGCAGCGGAATACAGATAGGGACCGTGAATCTCGAAGATCCTTCAGTTACAGGTCAGTAACCTCCTTTTCTTCTTCAAGTGATGATCCTATTATATTCCACTGTGGGTGACTGACAAGCAGTACCTAAGTCGGAGGAAGGTGCAAGGATGTAGATAGCAGAGTTGAGGACCACCATTCCAGAGGAGGCAGAGGAGTCCTGTACCAATGCATAATGTCTTGGAAACGTGTGAACAGAGCTCCATGTAGCTGCTTTACAGATGTGAAGGACGGGTACCTCCGGAAGTGATACTACAGTTGTTGCTTCTGCTCTGGTGGAATGCACTCTTATTCCAGGGGGGTTTGGGGAAGGTTCAATAGCTGATAGAGTAGAATGCAGCCAGAGATCCATTTGGAGATTCTCTGGGTGGAGATAGCACGCCCCCTGACTCTTTCTGATATAGTGATGAATAGTCTCATGGATTTCCTGATGGGTTTCGTTTTTTGCAGGTAAAAGGCCAAGGTCTGCTGAACATTGAGGGAG